GCCCGGCCAATGCCCTACGTACGAACAGCCTCTCCAGTACAGAAAGCAGATCTGTGTGTGTGCGTGTGTGTGTGTGTGTGTGTGTGTGTGTGTGTGTGTGTGTTGGTTGTGGGGCTTGAACTCAGGGCCCGGGCGCTGTCCCTGAGCTCTTTCACTCAAGGCTGGCGCTCTACCACTTGAGCCACAGCGCCACTTCCAGTTTTCTGGTGCGTCACTGGAGATCAGAGTCTCACGGACTTTTCTGCCCGGGCTGGCTTTGAACCACAATCCTCAGAGCGCAGCCTCCTGAGTAGCTGGGATGCTAGGTGTGAGCACCGGCGCCCGGGTCAGTGATGTTTGGTTGAAACCTTCCAGTGATTCCGCCCCTGGATTCCCAAGCAGTTCTGTCTCCCTCCCTCCCCCAACCCCTCCCTCTCCCTTCTCCCTCCATCCCTCCCTCTCTCTCCTCCCCCCACCTCTTTTCTAGAAGCTTCTGACTATGAAGGTCAGCCTGGGTCCCCCCCAACCCGTCAACCCCACATCCCGACTTGGGCTCCCGGCTTTCCGCAGGATCTGTCACACATTTCATGGTTCTCCCTCCCCCCTCCCCTCCCCTTCTCTCTCCTCCCCTCCCCTCCCTCCCTCCCCTCCCCTCCCCTCTCCCCTCCCCTCTCCCTCCCCCGCCCCCCTCTCTCAGGCCAGGACCCGTTCGCCCCCCTCCCGGCCCCCAGGTGTTCGGGCTCTGCCTTCCTTGGTTCCTGGGAGTCCCCGCTGTGTCCCGCGTGGCCGCAGGGTCGGATTCCCAGCCCACGGTCCACACCCACTCAGGAAACCGTGTGCAGACAGACAAGTGTTCCGGATGGTTCCAGATGGTTCTGGATGGTTCTCAGTCGTTCCAACCGTTCTCTGCCTTGCTCACGGCCCGCAGTTCCCCCCCCTCCCAGTGTGGCCCTGGCGTGCCAAGTGTGGCTTTAATCCCGGCCGGCCCGCGGCATGCTGGGCCGCAGGGGTGAGGCTGAGCCGCTGGCTGGCCCCGCTCTCCCCTCCGCCCTCGGGGTCCAGCGCGCGCCGAAGCCGAAGCGCTGCACTGAGTCTGCTGGATTTTTCTCCTTCGTAGAGCGTGTGTGACGCGAGGCTCTGTCCACATGGCTTCTGTGCTGATTGTGAATCGTGTGAGTGTGTGTGTGCGCACGTGAGCACCATTTCCGGAGAACTAGGAGGGTGAGCGCATGGACAAAGGGAACTATTTCTTAATGTTCTTTTGTCGGTCCTGGGTCTTGAACTCAGGGCCTGGGCGCTGTCCCTCAGCTCTTCAGCTCAAGGCTGGTGCTCTACCACTTGAGCCACAGCACCACTTCTGGTTTTCTGGTGGTTCATGGGAGATCAGAGTCTCACAGACTTTCCTGCCTGGGCTGGCTTTGAACCGCCATCCTCGGATCTCAGCCTCCTGAGCAGCTGGGATGGCAGGCGGGAGCCACGGCGCCCGGCTAGCATTTATTTGATGAGTTGGAAGTAAACCATCAGGGCCGGGCCCCGTGTCTCCCTGGGGCTTTCTTCCTGTGCTTCTCCAGGCGGCTTTGCTGCCTCTCTGTGCATCTCAGGCCTGCACCCCCCCCCCCCCCCCAGCTGGTGAGGAGCCGAACGCACAGCCTGGGCCCGGCCAGCAGCCGCCCCAGCGGAGCCCGGCCTTGGCCTGGGGCCGTGGGCAGCCGGGCGGACCACAGGGAGAGCTGAGCTACAGCTTGGACTCTGCGAGAGGCTGGCAGCTCTGATCCCCTCCCCCTCCCCCTCCCCTCCTCCTCCTCCTCCCCCTCCCCCTCCTCCCTCCCCCTTCCCCTCCTCCTCCCCCTCCTCCCTCCTCCCCCTCCTCCTCCCCCCTTCCCCTCCCCCTCCTCCCCTCCTTCTTCCTCCCCTCCTCCCCCTCCTCCCTGCTTGGATCTTCTAACAGCCGGGTCTCCGGTCTCCAGAGGCACAGGAGAGAGACAGTGACGATTTGGGGACAGGGGATGTGTGACATTTGTTCAGTTCTCACACACACGTGGGAGTGAACACATGCACGCACGCACCCATGCACACACACGCATGCACACACATGCACACACGCACGCACACACATGCACACACACGCACACACGCACGCACGCACCCATGCACACACACATGCACACACGCATGCATGTACGCACACACGCACGCATGCATGCATGCACACACACACACGCACACACATGCACACACGCACGCACGCACCCACGCACACACATGCAACACACTCGCATGCATGCATGCACACGCATGCACACACGCATGCACGCATGCACACATGCACACACACATGCACACACGCACACACACGTACACACATGCACACACATACACACGCATGCACACACACACACACACATGCACGCACGCGGCCCAGGACAGGGAGGAGGACGGAGTGCCATCAATATTTCACGTCCAGGCAGCTCGGATGGCAGCGATCGGCCACCCCCAGAGCAGAGGCCAGCCGGGACTGCAGGCGGCCGCCCAGAGCCCGTCGGTCAGCACAGAGCCCTTCAGCGCAGAGCCCGTCCTGCTCAGGGCCTCGGCCGACTCCCGCCGCAGGGCTGGGTCCAGGCGCCGCTGCCCCGGCCCGGCCGGCGCGTGGCCGGCAGACGGCGGCTTCCCCACAGCCATGTCCCGCGGCGCTCGCTCCTGCGTGGACCCCAAGCTGCGGACGCCGAGCGAGCGAGCGGCGGAGGGTCCCCAGGGCTGCGCTACGCGCGGGGGTTGGAAAACAAACCATCCGAGCCGTCGCCCTGTCCCGACCCGTCCCCCTGTCCCGACCCGTCCCCCCGTCCCCCCCGTCCCCCCCGTCCCCCCGTCCCCCCGTCCCCCCCGTCCCCCGTCCCCCCGTCCCCCCGTCCCCCGTCCCCCCCGTCCCCCGTCCCCCCGTCCCCCCTCCCCCCTCCCCCGTCCCCCCTCCCCCCGCCCCCGCGGCTTGGCTAGAGTCCTGGCCGAACGCCGGCCTCTGGCTCCGTTCCTGGACTACAGGCCTCCCCCACCCTGCTCGGCTTGTGCACCCAGAGTGGGGGGCAGAGGAAGGCAGGTCACCCCGGAACGCAGACGCCGCCCTTCCTTCCAGAGAGCCGGGCTGGCGTGGGCGCTTGACGCATCCGAAGGGCCTTTCCCCACGGCCCCAGGCCTTCTAGAAAAGTCTGATTGTTTTTTCTTTGTAAAGACCGGCTGCCAGGGGCTGGGCAGGTGGCTCTGTGGTAGAGCACTCGCCTGGCATGCACGAGGCCCTGGGTTCGATTCCTCAGCACTACGTATTTAGAAAAGGCCAGAAGTGGCGCTGTGGCTCAGTGGTAGAGCGCCAGCCTTGAGCCAAAGCAGCTTGGGGACGGCGCCCAGGCCCTGAGTTCGAGCCCCAGGACAGATGGGGTCTCTGCGGTCCCCGGGAGGGACACATGGCCAGGCAGGGGGGCTGGGCGGGCCTGTGGGCGCCAGGCCGGAGCCGCAGGTGAGGGGACTGAGCAGGAGCCCGGAGCTGACAAACCTGGGCCGGAAGAGATGCTCAGTCAGTCAACAAACGTCGGGCTGGCCGGGTGCGCGCTCTTCAGCTCAAGGTGGGCGCTCTACCCCCTTGAGCCACAGCACCACGTCCGGTTTTCTGGTGGTTCCTGGGAATCAGAGTCTCAGGGACTCTCCTGCCCGGGCTGGCCTCCACCCGCGATCCTCAGCCCTCAGCCTCCTCAGCAGCCAGCCGGGATGGCAGGCGTGAGCGCCGGGGCCCGACTCCATTCTTTCCAGTGCATCTTAATTCCTTCCCCCTCCACCCTCTCTGGTCCTGGTCATTAGCGGGTACAGCAGATACCCTTCAACCCCCGAGAGGCCACGGGGTCACCTACAAACGACGCTGTTTATTGCCCAATTGACTGGTGACAAAAGGCACTATGAAAACAATTAATAGACTGAGCTGCCCCTGTGGGGGGGTGCGTGGGGTGTGTGGGGGGCGCGTGGGGGCACATGGGGGCGCGTGGGGCCACATGGGGGTGCGTGGGGGCACATGGGGGCGCGTGGGGCCACATGGGGGTGCGTGGGGGCACATGGGGGGCACATGGGGGCGCGTGGGGTGTGTGTGGGGCGCGCGGGGGCACACAAGGGCGCGTGGGGGCACATGGGGGCGCGTGGGGGCACATGGGGGCGCGTGGGGGCACATGGGGGCGCGTGGGGGCACATGGGGGCGCGTGGGGCGCGGAGGGGGTGGGGCCGGCGGGCCGAGTCTCGCAGGGCCGAGTGCAGGGAGAGGAGGCGTGCTCGGTCCCCGGGAAGGCGGGCCGGGGGTGGGGGGTGGCGGGACGCGGCCGGGCAGAGGCTCAGCCGTGGAGCCGCCCCGCGCGGCTCTCCGGGCCGGGGGTCTCGGGGTTGTGCTGGGCGCCGCGATCCTCTGCGGTCCTCGGGATGGGTCCCGGCCTCCCGCGGCGGGGCCGGCGGGGCAGGGGCCTCGCGGGCGGCGGTGCAGGGGCCTCGCGGGGCGTGCGCGCGGGCGTGCCCCGGGGGTGCTGGTGTGCCGGGCGAGCCTCAGGTGTGCTGGTGTGCTGGTGTGCCCGTGGGCGTGCCCCGGGGGTGCAGGAATGCCGGATGCGCCCCCAGGCGTGCTGGAGTGTCGGGCGTGCCGGAACTTGTGCTTGGAGTGTGCCCGCGTGGGACGGGCGTGCCGGCGTGCGCGTGCCCATGGCCGCGTGCGCGTTCCCGTGCGCGTGCCCATGTGCCGGCGTTCCCGTGCGCGTGCCGGCGTGCGCGTGCCCATGGCCGCGTGCGCGTTCCCGTGCGCGTTCCCGTGCGCGTGCCCATGGCCGCGTGCGCGTTCCCGTGCGCATGCCGGCGTGCGCGTGCCCATGGCCGCGTGCGCGTTCCGTGCGCATGCCGGCGTGCGCGTGCCATGGCCGCGTGCGCGTTCCCGAGCGTGTGCCGGCGTGCGCGTGCCCATGGCCGCGTGCGCGTTCCCGTGCGCGTGCCCATGTGCCGGCGTGCGCGTTCCCGTGCCGGCGTGCGCGTGCCCATGGCCGCGTGCGCGTTCCCGTGCCGGCGTGCGCGTGCCCGCGCGGCGTCAGTGGCCGCCGCCCTCGTCGAAGGACTCCACGCCCGAGTCGCTGGCGGCCGCGCTGATCTTCTCCTGCCGCCGCCTCATGATCTCCTGCAGCTCCGAGCTCCCGTCGTGGTCCTGGGGGCGGACGGACGGACGGACAGACACACGCACAGGGAGAGAGAAAGAGATGGACGGACAGAGGGACAGACAGACGGATGGACGCACAGGTAGAGAGAGAGAGAGAGGTGGATGGACAGACAGACCGACAGAAGGGCGCACAGGTGGAGAGATGAACGGACGGACGGACAGACAGACATGGATGGAAGGACAGACATGGACACAGAGAGAGAGATGGACAGATAGAGTGACAGATACACAGATAGACAAATAAGACAGAGACGGACAGACGGATGGACAGAGAGACAGACAGGACGGACGAATGGACAGACGGATGGACAGACAGACAGACAGGCAGGCGTCAGAGGCTGCACGGCTGTCCACCGCGGCGCAGCAGGCCTGGGCGGGCCTTCTAGCATGTTCCTCCCCAGGGCCCGGCGCGGGGGCCCGGACGCCCCCAGTGTGCCGCGTGGCACGTGCGTGCTGCACACCGCACGCACACACGGACCACGTGCTGCAGACGCACCGTGCGTGCACACTCACGCGTGCACGTGGTACACACATTGCACACACTCGTGAGGCGTGCAGGGCACACGCGTGGCGTGTCTGGTGTCACACGCGCTGGCTCAGGGCACGCTCGGCCTACGCGCGTGTGCACTGGGAGCAGTAAGGGACTGGAGGGACGTGCCGGGGTGCGGGCGTCCACGCCCGGCCGAGGGGCGTGCCGGGGGGCGGGCGTCCACGCCCGGCCGAGGGGCGTGCCGGGGGGCGGGCGTCCACGCCCCATGCGCTGGACGGAGGCCAGGAAGCCCCGCGGCCGGCAGCTCCACCCCGGGCCCGGGGCGCACGCAGGGGACCCGACGGCGGAGTGTTACACTGCGGTAAAGTGCCAACATCCAGCTACCAACCCACCAACCAACCAATCCACCTACCTACCCATCTACCCGTCTACCAATCAATCACCTACCATCTGCCTACCCATCTACCCATCAATCATCTATCAATCTACCCATCTACCTACCCATCTACCAACTACCAATCACGTACCATCTACCTACCCATCTACCCATCAATCATCTATCAATCTACCCATCTACCTACCCATCTACCCGTCTACCAATCAATCACCTACCATCTGCCTACCCATCTACCCATCAATCATCTATCAATCTACCCATCTACCTACCCATCTACCAACTACCAATCAATCACCTACCATCTACCTACCCATCTACCCATCAATCATCTATCAATCTACCCATCTACCTACCCATCTACCAACTACCAATCACCTACCATCTACCTACCCATCTACCCCATCAATCATCTATCAATCTACCCATCTACCTACCCATCTACCCGTCTACCAATCAATCACCTACCATCTACCTACCCATCTACCCATCAATCTATCTTCCTGTCTATCAATCTATCCATCTACCAATCAATCATCTATCAATCTATCCATTTATCAATATCTACTGTCTATCAATCAATCTATCCATCTGCCTGTCCATCCATCCATCATCTATCTATCTAATCACCCATCATTTATCTATCCACCTATCCATCTATATCCATCCATCCATCCACCCACCCATCCATCATCCATCCATCCATCCACCCATCCATCCACCCATCCATCCATCCATCCATCCATCATCCATCCATCCATCCATCCATCTATCCACCTATCACATCTGTCTATCCAACTATCTATCCATCTATCACCTGTCTGTCTGTCCATCCATTCACCTACCTTTCCATCCATCCATCCATCCATCCATCCATCCATCCATCCATCCATCATCTGTCTGTCTTTTAAGTTCTGTTGAATGAGTAAATGGCGACTGACGGAGGCCAGGGGACTCTGACTCAGCCCTCAGGGCGGGGATGTGAGCTCTCTGGAGCTTTGTTCTGGCGCTTTCCGGGGCGGGTTCGGGGCTCACCTCCAGGGCGGCCTTCTGGACGGTGACCTGGTTGAAGACGCGCGCGCCCTCGGGGCACACGGCCCTCAGCTCCTCTTTGTTGAGGGAGAAGAGCTGCGCCCCGTTCAGCACCCCGAGGCTGCTCACCGTCCTGGGCGGGAGAGGAGGACAGGGGTCAGGGTGAAGGCCTCCCCGCGGCCCGGCCAGGAGACCGGCGGGAGGCTCCCTGAGCCTCGGGTCTCCGAGGAGCCACCAGGACGCCGGGCGGGCGCCGGGGCTCAGGGGGCCGGGCCAGGCCGGCTGCGCGTCACCGGCCACTGACCGCTGCCAGGAAGCGTCGCCACGCCGTGACCCCGTCGGGAGGATGCGCCACGGGCTGCTCACGCACAGCTCCATCGAGACGAGAAAACCGGCTGGTGCGTGCGTGCGTGCGTGCGTGCGTGTGCGTCTGTGTCTGTGTATGTCTCCGTGTGTGTGCATGTGTGTGTGCATCTGTGTGTCTGTGTATGTCTCCGTGTGTAGGCATGTGCGTGTGTGCATGTGCGTGTGCATCTGTGTGTGTCTGTGTATATCTCCGTGTGTATGCATGTGTGTGTGCGTGTGAGTGTGCCTGTGTATGTCTCCGTGTGTGTGCATGTGTGTGTGCGTGTGAGTGTCTGTATGTCTCCGTGTGTGAGCGTGTGTGAGCGTGTGCGCATGTGTGCGATCACGGCTGAGCCTGAGCTCTGTTTCTCGCTCACGGCCGGTGCTCTGCCGCTGGAGCCAGGCATACGGGGCAGCTCGGCGGCTGCGGAGCGGGAGCTGCCGAGGCCCCCGTGGCGGCCGCCCCGACAGGGCCTTGCACCCGGGCCGGGCGCCGTCCCGCGGCTCCTTCCCTCCAGGCGGGCGCCCGACCCGTGAGCCGCGGCGCCACCTCCGGCTTTCTGGTGGTTCCTCGGAGATCAGAGGCTCGGGGACTTTCCTGCCCGGGCCGGCCGCGACCGCGATCCTCGGGCCTGGGCCTCCGAGCGGCCGGGGCGGTGCGGGACTCACGCGGGGGCGAAGCCCTTGGACTGCAGCCAGGGCGCGGACGAGGCCGGGCGCGGACTCGGGGGTGATGTGCACGGCGGGCGCGCTCTGCCGCGGGACGTGGAACTTCTTCTGCGCGGCGCTGCGGCCGATGGTCAGCCGCTGCAGCAGCTCGTCCTGCACCTCCTCCATCTGCGACTTCCGGCCTGCGGGGGTCACGGGTCACGGGGGGGGGGGGCACGGCCCCGCACCCCACCGCCCCCAGCCACCGCCACGGGTGACCCTGTGACCCCGCCCCGCGGCCAGGGCCCGGCTGCCAAGGGCATTGTGGGAGGCCGGTGGGGGTTCGTGATCTGCCCCCGGGGAGCGTCAGCCAGAGCTGGGAACCGGGGCGCCGGGGCGCCCAGCCCCCCCCCCACCCCGGGAGCCCAGGAGCTCCCTACAGCCCCCCCCACCCCGGGAGCCCAGGAACCCCCCACAGCCCCGCCCACCCCGGGAGCCCAGGAGCTCCCACAGCCCCCCCCCACCCCGGGAGCCCAGGAACCCCCCACAGCCCCCCCCCACCCCGGGAGCCCAGGAGCTCCCCACAGCCCCGCCCACCCCGGAGCCCAGGAGCTCCCCACAGCCCCGCCCACCCCGGGAGCCCAGGAGCTCCCCACAGCCCCCCCCACCCCGGGAGCCCAGGAGCTCCCCACAGCCCTGCCCCCTGCTGCCCAGGAGCCCCCCACAGCCCCCCCACCCCGGGAGCCCAGGAGCTCCCACAGCCCCCCCCCCCCACCCCGGGAGCCCAGGAGCTCCCCACAGCCCCCCCCACCCCGGGAGCCCAGGAACCCCCCACAGCCCCCCCACCCCGGGAGCCCAGGAACCCCCCACAGCCCCCCCCCCACCCCGGGAGCCCAGGAACCCCCCACAGCCCCCCCCACCCCGGGAGCCCAGGAGCTCCCACAGCCCCGCCCCCGGCGCAGCCCCGCCCCCGCCCCGCCCCCGGCGCAGCCCCGCCCCCTGCTGCCCAGGAACCCCCCACAGCCCCGCCCCCGGCGCAGCCCCGCCCCCTGCTGCCCAGGAACCCCCCACAGCCCCGCCCCCGGCGCAGCCCCGCCCCCTGCTGCCCAGTGGCTCCCCACAGCCCCGCCCCCGGCGCAGCCCCTCCCCCTGCTGCCCAGTGGCTCCCCACAGCCCCGCCCCCGGCTCAGCCCCGCCCCCCGCCCCGCCCCCGGCGCAGCCCCGCCCCCGGCGCAGCCCCGCCCCCGCCGCAGCCCCGCCCCCGGCGCAGCCCCGCCCCCGCGGCGCGGCACTCACGGTCGGCCGGCATCTGGCCGTGGCCGGGTCTCTGCTCCCGCGCTGCGCTGCCGTCGGGGGCGTCGCCGCTGTGCGGGGCGGCGGGCGCGGGCGCGGGCGGCGCCAGGGGCGCGGGCGGCGCGGGGGCCGGGGCCGGCGGGGGCGACGGGGCGCGCGGGCCGTCGCAGTCCAGCCTCTGCTTCTGGGAGGGGGAGCAGCGGTGAGCCCGGCCGCCCCGGGGATGGCCGGGATGGGAGGACCGCGGCCCCGGGCCCCGGGGATGGCCGGGATGGGAGGACCGCGGCCCCGGGCCCCGGGGGTGGCCGGGATGGAGGACCGCGGCCCCGGGCCCCGGGGATGGCCGGGATGGGAGGACCGCGGCCCCGGGGATGGCCGGGAAGGGAGGACCGCGGCCCCGGGCCCCGGGGATGGCCGGGATGGGAGGACCGCGGCCCCGGGCCCGGGGATGGCCGGACGCACGGCCGCGGCCCGGGCGGTGGAGCCGGAGGCTGCGACCAAGCTCCGAATTGGCCCAAACAGGAGGTACAACGCCCGCAGAGCGAACTCATGCACACGCGTGTGCGCGCGCGCGCGGTGACTGACCCCCGACCCCCCCAGTCTGCGGAGGAATTGACCCGAGAGGCTGAGCTTCTGCCTTAAAGCGACCCAGCACGGAAGCCCTGCGTGGATCTTTCTAGAAAGGCCGCCCGGGGTCCCTCGGCCACGCACGCCGGGACCAGCGCCGCCTCCACGGCTGGCTGAGACGCGCCTCCTGCGTTTGGGCCAATCAGGTGGTTTTGGAGCCACGGAATGAGAGCCAACGTCAGCCAGACGGAGTACTTAGCACACAGCACCGGTGTAGCACTTAGCACACAGCACCCAAGACGCAGCCCTTGGCACACACCCCGGGCAGCGAATGCGGACGCGGCGCGGCTCCGGTGAGGCCACCGCGTGTCGATTCGTGCGGGCGCCGCGAATCCTCACGCTCGCCTGAGCGCCGGTGGATTCACGCACGGGGGTCACGCACACGGCACGCACACGCACTGCACGCCACTCGCCGCCCGCGCTCAGCCCTCCCGCGGCCTGCGCCCCCGCCCCGCGACCCTCCGCGTGGCCCCGGGGACCCCCGAGGGCCGAGGACCGCGGTTCAAAGCCAGCCAGGAGACTCATCTCCAGTGAGCCACCGAAAAGCTGGGCTGGAGGCGGGGCTCGGGGCGCAGCGCCGGCCTGGGGGGACGAACCGGCTGAAGGTCGGAGACCAGCCCCAGCTCCTGACCCCCTCCCTCCCCCCTCTTCTTCCTCCCTCCGGTCCTCCCTCCTCCCTCCGGTCCTCCCTCCCTCCCTCCTCCCTCCTCCCTCCCTCCTCCCTCCCTCCTCCCTCCGGTCCTCCCTCCCTCCCTCCTCCCTCCCTCCTCCCTCTGGTCCTCCCTCCCTCCCTCCTCCCTCTGGTCCTCCCTCCCTCCCTCCTCCCTCTGGTCCTCCCTCCCTCCCTCCTCCCTCCGGTCCTCCCTCCCTCCCTCCAGTCCACCCTGGCCGTCAGCGGGACGAGTCACTTTCCCGGGCGGGGGGAGCACTCCAGGCGGGCCCTGACTCCTGCCAGTGTCACAGACGGCGGGGGGGGGGGGGGGGGGGGGGTGGGGGGGGGTGGGGGTGGGGGGACTGAGCCAGGCCCCCCCCAGCTCCAATGACTCGGGGTCTCCTGAGTCACCCACCCCTCTGCAGTTAAAGACAAAACCAACCCCAACCCCCCAAACCCCAAACCACCCCCAACCACCCCCCAACCACCCCAAACCACCCCCAAACCAACCCCAACCTCCCCAAAACCCCAAACCACCCCCAACCACCTAACCAACCCTCAACCACCCCAAACCAACCCTCCCCAAAACCCCAAACCACCCCCAACCACCTAACCAACCCTCAACCACCCCAAACCAACCCTCAACCACCCCAAACCACCCCCAAACCAACCCTCAACCACCCCAAACCACCCCAACCACCACAAAACCCCAAACCACCTCCAAACACCCCAAACCAACCCTCAACCACCCCAAACCACCCCCAACCACCACAAAACCCCAAACCAACCCCAACCACCTAACCAACCCTCAACCACCCCCCAAACCACCCCAAACCAACCCTCAACCACCCCAAACCACCCCAAACCAACCTCAACCACCCCAAACCACCCCCAAACCAACCCTCAACCACCCCAAACCACCCCAACCACCACAAAGCCCCAACCACCCCCAAAACCCCAAACCACCCTCTAACCACTCCCAAAACCACCCCCAACCACCCCCAAATCCCAAACCACCCCCCAACTACCCCCAAACCACCCTCCAAACAACCCCCAAACACTCCAACAACATCCAAACCACCCCGAAAACAACCCCCAGATGGCAGGCAGGGCTGGGCGCGGAGCCAAAAATAAAACAAAAACCAACAGAACTGGGGTGCGGGGGGGTGCGGGGTGTGGGTGGGTGCGGGTTACCTGGGCGAGCTCCCCGAGCAGGCGCTGGGAGGCGGGGGGGGGGGGGGGGGGGGGGGGGGGGGGGGAGACACAGATGAGCAAAGCACAAGGATGCGGCGCGCAGCGCAGCGCGCTACGGAACGCCCAAGTGTGGGCCCGTCGTCCGCAAGGGCGGCCGGGCCGGCGGCAGCAGAGGCAGGGAGACGCCACCCGTCCGGCCCAGCCACCTGGTCGGGCGCGGCCGCTGCACACGCGAGTGCACAGATCCAAGCACACGCGTGTCCAACACGCGGCTGCCCGGCTGTGTGCTGCAGGGGCGTGACCCCATGCCACTGGCCAGTGTTAGAGCGAGCACCAGAGAGCTCCCTGAATCCCCCCACAGCCAGGAGGAAGACAGACAGACAGAGACACAGAGACAGACAGACAGACAGCGAGAGACTGAGACAGAGACAGAGAGACACAGACAGAGAGGAGCTGGGAACCCCGGGCTGCGCGTTGGTAGCATAAGAGCATCTGCCAGTGCCCAGACCTGATGATAAACAAACGAGCCAGGCGCCGTGGCTCCCGCCTGCCATCCCAGCCACTCGGGAGGCCGAGATCTGAGGATCGCGGTGCAAAGCCAGCCCAGGGCAGAAAGTCCGTGAGACTCTGATCTCCCAGGAACCACCAGAAAACCAGAGGTGGCGCTGTGGCTCAAGAGGTAGAGCACTAGCCTTGAGCTGAAGAGCTCAGGGACAGCGCCCAGGCCCTGAGTTCAAGACGCAGGACTGACACAAACAAAAACAGAAAAAGGTAAGAAAGGAAGAGGCGAGCATGCGTCCCGAAACGCTGCAAAAACCTCGCCGGGTTGGAAGCCATTTCAAGACTCTGTAATAACTTTCACAACCAGGGCCTCGTGGGTAAACAAAGCACCACACACACACACATGCATGCACACACGCATGCACACGCATGCACGCACGCGCACACAACCACAGCAGGCAGCTCCTCAGGGGAGCCTGAGGCCCTGAGAAAAACGTCACCAGCCGTGACGAGCTGCGAGGGACCCGCGGCCGCAAGACCCCCCTGCGGCGCGTGGCCTGCAGCGTGGGACACGTGGAGGGACGCGTGTCCTGGCCGGGCCCAAGCTGACAAAAACGCAAGGTGAGCTTCTGCATAAAAAAACAAAAACAGAAACAGAAACGAGAGAGCAGGCCGGGCGCGGCTCCCGCCTGCCATCCCCGGCTGCTCGGGAGGCTGAGATCCGAGGATCGAGGTTCGAGGCCCGCTCGGGCAGGAAAGTCCCTGAGACTCCGATCTCCAATGAACCACCAGAAAACTGGAAGTGGCGCTGTGGCTCAGGTGGTAAAGCGCCAGCCTGGAGTGAAAGAGCTCAGGGACAGCGCCCAGGCCCTGAGTTCGAGACCCAGGACCTGCACAACAACAAATGGCTTTCCTGCCTGCCATTTTGGTTTGCTCGGTCTTGGGAAGAAACCAGCTTTTTGTGCAGGGAAGTCAGGTTATGGCGGCTCAAGCCACGGATCACCCGCACGGGAAAGAGGACACGGCCCAGACATGGACTCTTTCTCAGGATGTCGGGAGAACATGTTGGATTGTTGAGCTCGCTGAGCACAGGCTGACACAGACAGAGAGGATCAGAAAGCCTGACCTCTGCTCTGTGCATGGGGCTGGCTTTGAACTGCGATCCTCCAGCTCTCGGCCTCCTGAGCAGCCGGGATGGCAGGCGTGCGCACCGGCGCCCGGCCGAGGTGCACGCTGAAGCTGGTGCTCCGTGGCCGGCTGAGGAGAGGGTCGCAGTGTCTGTGGCTTTCTGGCGCTCAGAAAGCCAGCGGGGGCGTCACGCGGCCCACGGCAGGCTGGGATTTGGGAGGAGAGGGCGTTCACACCGAGCAAGACCACTTCACACCAAAGGCCGGGGGCCGTCCTACCTTGAACAGCTCAAATTCCTTCTTTGGCATCAAGAGCTGAGGGCGGAGGGAGGGTGGGTGGGCGGGAGGCAGCATGTGGGGTGGGGGACCCCCCCGACCCGCGTGGAGACCACCCAGACATCCTTGGCTTTGCCCCACGCACAGATTGGAACTGGGCCGCGGGTTCGAGGCGGACCCCGAGCCCCCATGGAAAGCACGGCTCAGCCACGCGCCCAGGACCGGGCTGCCTGCGTCCTGGGTCTTGAACTCGGGGCCTGGGCGCTGTCCCTGAGCGTTTCCGCTCTAGGCTGGCGCTCTGCCGCCTGAGCCACAGCGCCGCTTCTGGCTTTTTCTCTGGTGGTTCATGGGGGGTGAGGGTCTCACGGACTTTCTGGCCCGGGCTGGCTTTGAACCGTGATCCTCTGGATCTCAGCCTGGTGAGGGGCCGGGATGACAGGCGGGAGGCGCCGGGTGCGCCCCGCTGTGTGGTGGGGAGGACTGACCCCCCGTCTCCCCCCCCCCCCCCCCCCGGGGACGGCTAGGCCCAGCCCTGACCTTCTCCCGGGGTGACTGTGGGGTCTCCTTCAGCACCCCAGAAATTAAAAGATCCTCCCCAGGGGGAGAGGCGAGGAGGGAGCGGGTGGGGGGGGGCAGCTTGGGACTGCAAGCGAGCCGGGACTACAGGGGTGCGCACTGGCACTGGGCCTGGCCGGACGGGAAGGCCGCGTGTGAGGAATAGCAGGCGGCTCGTACCTGGATGGTGTGCGTGTGCGGGGCGGCGGGGCCGGCGGGCGGCAGCAGGTCCAGGATGTTGTTGGGCACGAAGCCCGCATCCCCGCGCGCGCCCCGCACCCTCCACCACTGCCTGCGGTCATCCAGCACCTGCGGGAGGAGGGGGAGCGCGTGAGCAGCCCGCGGCGTCCCAGCGACTTTCCGGCCTGGGCTGGCTGGGACGGCAGGCGTGAGCCCCGGCGCCCGGCCTGGGTCTCATCATGGGTCTCGGGTGAGTGCATCACCAGCCTCGCTTGTAAGGATGGAGCCCGAGGGAGTGGGCTTGTGCGGGGGAGCTGGGGACGCGCCGCTCGGGGGGCCTCACCTCCAGGACCTCATCCCTCAGCACCGACAGCTCGCTGCTGTTCCTGGCCGTGAAGTCGAACTTGGAGCGGGCGTACTTCTTGGGCTGGGGCGGGTGCGGGTCGTAGCTTCTGTGGCTGTAGCAGAGCACAGCGCAGCTCCCACCCCGGCCCGGCGCTAACGGGGAAGCCCAAGAACCCCCCCACACCCACACACCCCCCAGCAGTGACATTGGTGGCGGGGGGGAGGGGGGGATGGGGGGGCAGGGGGGGGGCGGGGGACGTTCCGTTCTAATTCTTGTTACTTTATTATTCACGACTTGACATCCTATTACTGCCACTTGATGTCTTATTATCTATCGCTTACCATTTTGTTGCGTATTATTACTTATCACGAGTGTCACTCGGTGTTATTTATTATTGCTTAACGTTTTAGTGTGTAGTATGATTTGTTCTTTTCTCATTCACAGCTTCTTTTTGGTTTTTTTGGGGGGGTCTTTTTGGTCAGTCATGGGTCTTGAACTCAGGGCCTGGGCGCTGTCCCTCAGCTCTTCAGCTCAAGGCTAAGCACTCTACCACTTGAGCCACAGCGCCACTTCCAGCTTTTTCTGCTTCTGTGGTGCTGAGGAATCGAACCCAGGGCCTCATGCATGCAAGGCAAGCACTCTACCACTGAGCCACCTGCCCAGCCCTCATGACTTTTTATTTTATTGTCACTACTTATACTTTTATTATTGTCACTTATCTTTTTTTTTTGGCCAGTCGTGGGACTCGAACTCAGGGCCTGGGCATTGTCCCTGAGCTCTTTCACTCAAGGCTTGGCACTCTACCACTTGAGCCACAGCGCCCCTTCCTGTTTTCTGGTGGTTCATGGAGTTAAGAGTCTCAGGGATTTTCCTGCCTGGCTGGCTTTGAACCGTGATCCTCAGAGCTCAGCCTCCCGAGCAGCTGGGACTACAGGCATGAGCCACTGGTGCAGGCCCAGGAGAGCGCGTGTGAAGATGTGCGGGCAGCAGTCAGCAGCACACACCCGAGGCTCCGTCGCTTTCCATGGTGCGTTACCTGTCTGCGTGGCGGTTCGGGGTGGGCTTGAAGGGCCCAGCGGCCTCCCCTTGGTCCGGCTGCGGTCCCCTGGGGTACACGCTGCTGCAGAAGGCGTAGGCGTCGGGCGGGGGGTACTCGAGGAGGCCGGGATGCTGTGGGGCAGACGTGCAGGAGTCAACACCAGTGCCCGTGAGTGCTCACGCCGCCCACCTCCACCCGGGGCCCAGGCCTGTGGTCCCAGCGGTTCGGGAGGCTGAGGGCCGAGGACCGCGGTCTGAGGCCAGCCTTGGGGCGGGAAAGCCCATGAGACCCTGCTTGCCAATGAACGAATGGCCACCAAAACTGGACTAGAGCCGTGGCTCAAGGAGTAGAGCACCAGCCTTGAGTGAGCAAGCTCGGGGACAGCACCCAGGCCCCAGGTTCAGAAAGAACCCGCAAGTCGTTGAGCCAATTGCCACAGCGCCCGTGTGCCCCGGAGCCACGGCGGACACACGAATCCCCTGGTGTCATTCGGGGTGCCCCCCGTGTTAGGGACCCCCCCCCGCCTCAGGGGCCCTGGTTCAGCTCTATTTCCCAGGAGGATGAAAAGGGTCATCAGCAAAGCTTTTCCTTGTTTTTTTTTGGGGAAGGGGTGGATTTGAACCCCGGGCCTTCCTGGGGCCGGGCCCGTGCCCTCCCGTGGGCGCCCCGCCCCCCAGCTCTCCCTCCCCGCATTGAGGCCTCGTGGGTCCACGTTTGCCACCCTCCAGCCTCCTCCTGCTCGGTCCCCACGGGCTAGATTTTTCTGGAATGGTGAAAGAGAGAGCCTAAATTTCGCTATCATCGAGAAAAGCCTATCTAAATTTGTCTAGAACCCAGACAGGGCCAATCTTAGATCCTTCTAGAATTGAGAGAAACTGACTAGATTGTTCTAGAAGCTGGGGGGGAGGTGAGCACAGGACTTGTTGGACTCCAGAAAGTCTTTAGGTTGTTCTAGAAGCCAGCGGATAATCACAGGTCTTTCTGGACTCCACAAAGTCACCTTTAGATTATTCTAGAAGCTGGGGGGGGGGGGTGAGTGATTGCGGGTCTTTCTAGGCTCTAGAACATCCCTTCATCCCTTCTAGATTGTTCTAGAAGCCAGGGACAGGGTGATCACAGGTCTTTGTGTACTCCAGAAAGTTACCTCTGGACTGTTCTAGAAGTGGGGGGGGGGGGGCGGGGGTGGTGATCATGGGTCTTTCTAGGCTCTAGAGTCACCTCTACATTGTTCTAGAAGCCGGGGGACGATCACAGGTCTTCCCAGGTTCTAGACTATCACCTCTAGATTGTTCTAGAAGCCAGCAGATAATCACAGGTCTTTCTGGACTCCACAAAATCACTTTCAGATTATTCTAGAAGCCGGGGGTGGTGGTGATTGTGGGTGTTTCTAGGCTCTAGAATGTCACTTCTAGATTGTTCTAGAAGCCGGGGAGTGATCACGGGTCTTTCCAGGCTCTAGACAGTCACCCCTAGGTTGCTCTAGAAGCAGGCAGGGGCCATCCCTGTACCTCTGTGGCCGGCGGTCTCCGGGGGTCGAGCTGGCCACGGGGCTCGGCGGGCGGCGGGGACCCCTGGGGGGGCCCCAGGCTGTCCAGTGCCGGCGGCTCCCAGCCCAGCCGGAAGCGGGGCACGTAGGGTGGGATGAACTGCTCCCGAGGCCACTCCGCCCTGCGGACACCCACGCGGACACGGACACCCACACGGACACGTCAGCCAGGCCTGCGGGACACGCGGACCCGCAGACACAGCGACACAGCGACAGGACTCACCGATCCACAGTACCCAACAGAGACACGACACACTGATCCACAGTACCCAACAGAGACACGACACACCGATCCATAGTACCCAACAGAGACACGACACACCAATCCACAGTACCCAACACACTGACACACTGATCCATAGTACCCAACACACCAACACGACACACCAATCCACAGTACCCAACACACTGACACACCGATCCATAGTACCCAACAGAGACACGACACACTGATCCACAGTACCCAACACACCGATCCACAGTACCCAACACACCGACACGAGACACCAATCCACAGTACCCAACACACTGACACACCGATCCACAGTACCCAACACACCGACACGACACACTGATCCACAGTACCCAACACACTGACACACCGATCCACAGTACCCAACACACCGACACACCGATTCATAGTACCCAACACACCGACACGACACACCGATCCACAGTACCCAACACACTGACACGACACACTGATACAATGTACCAACACACCAATACACCAACACAGCACATTAACATACCAACACACCAACAAATACACACTGGCATGCCAACATACCAACACACACCAACATACCAACATACCAATACACCGACACAACACACCAATCCACTAGTACCCCAATACACCGACACAACAGACACACCAACACTCCAACAACACATCTGACACACCCACAGACACACCACCACACACCAGCAACACCGCCGCACGCCGACCCAGCGCAGCCCTCCTGTGTGCCCCAGAGAGGGAAACACACGCGTGTCCACGCGTGTTCACGCTCCTCCGTGAACGGCACACTCCACTGTGCGGCCTGGCGGTGTTGCTGCCTTGGCGCGGGCCTCGGCCCAGGCCGGGCTCCCCACGCGGGCTGTCTGCCTGCTGCAAGCGTGTGCGGGAGCATCCTACGCACTGTGCTAGCTAAGCGACTCGGGAGGCTGAGGTCTGAGGATCGTGGTTTGAGGCCAGCCCAGGGAAGGAAAGTCCGTGAGACTCTCATCTCCTATGAACCACTAGAAAACTGGAATTGGTGCTGTGGCTCAAGTGGTAGGGCACCAACCAGCCTTGAGCTGAAGAGCTGAGGGACAGCGCCCAGGCCCTGAGTTCAAGACCCACCATTGAGCAAAAATTGTATGTGTGTGTGTATATGTAGATCATTTCCCTTTGCACTTTTGTATTTATTTATTATCCTACTGTCCACGTTTCCCTGCCGTTTTTGTGTGTAAGGCCGGGCAGAAAGCGGCTCTCTGGCTTTCTGGAATCTGTTCGATCGACGCCTTCGGATAAGCCCGCTTGGAATGTGAACTGTAGTCCCAGAAAGCTTATTAAATCAGAGCATAAAAATAGCGCCGTCTCTGCAATGATTTTGGCTCGGATTCTCCATGAGAAAATGAAGGACCGCGTCAAAGAAAAGAAGGAAAGAAGAAAGAAAAGTCCACATCAAGGGGAAACACGGGGTGGGACGGAGCCTCAGGAGACCAACGCGTGGTTGCAAAAGCTCGCCGAGAGGCAGGTGCACGAACATCAGCAGAGAACGGCGGATCCCGTCAGAGCGGAGCCCACATTTGAAAGCATTTCTGACCCAGGTGTGTGTGTGTGTGTGTGTGATGGGACTTGAACTCAGGGCCTGTACTCAAGGCGGGCGCTCTACCACTTGAGCCACAGCTCCACTTCCAGTTTTCTGGTGGTTCATGGGAGATCAGAGTCTCACGGACCTCCCTGCCCAGGCTGGCCTTGAACCGCGATCCTCGGATCTCAGCCTCCTGGGTGGCTGGGATGACAGGCGGGAGCCACGACGCCGGCTTTCATGATGTCAGTGACCCTGACCCCCGCTGGGTCCCTCTGGACCCCGATCACCACCCACCCAGGCCTGCCGGCACTACAGGCAGCCGGCACAGAGCCCCTCCCTCACCTGGCTTTGAGCCACGTCTCCCCCAGCGACAGCCACAGGTCCCGCTCCTCGGGGGTCACGGTGCGGCTGAGGAAGTCCACGGTGTCCTTGGTCAGCAGGGGGCTGAGCACGGAGCTGGCCAGCTTGGGGCCTCCGGTGGCCTGGACGACCTATGGGGAGGACACATGGGGTTGGTGGCGGGAAGGCGGCGAGCACCGAAAACGCAAGCCAACGCTCTTCCCAGCCTCTCAGGAGGCTGAGATCTGAGGATCGCAGTTCGAGGCCAGCCTGGGCAGGAAAGCCCATGAGACTCTGATCTCCAAGGAACCACCCGAAAACCAGAAGTGGCGCTGTGGCTCAAGTGGTAGAGCGCCAGCCTTGAGGGAGAGAGCTCAGGGACAGCGCCCAGGGCCAGAGTTCAAACCCCATGGCCAGACCCCCCCCCCCAAAAAAAAAAGATACAATCTAGGAGCCATTTTCCTGGCTGGAGAATTAAAAATGAGCTCCTCGCGACACAAACCACGGCCGCTTTATCAACGTTTTGCCTTGGTCCTAGGTGTGGCACAAGAAGAAAGGAGATTGCGTGTGTGTGCACGTGTGTTTACACACTTGTCTACACACACATTTTTGGCCCAGGTTGAACCTGAAGAGCGTGATCTTCTTACTTGCTGCTTTCCCACATGGCTTGGGTTACAGCAATGCATCACCAAACCTGGCTTACTGATTGAGATGATGGGGTCTGGGGGAGGGGGGGGGACTCCCCTAATCATTGAGATCCTGGCCGGTCCTCGGCTGCAATCACCCTGATTTCAAGTCCCCCCTCCCCACCCTTCACCCCCAGGGGCTGAGATTACAATCACGAGCCACCACCCCCAGCCTGAGATCGAATTTTCAGACCGGAGGGTTCCCTGGCCAGAGTTATTGGCCAATAACCGGATACACGGAAACGCGAAGCCGCACTCACGTGAATTATTGATCCGGCTGGGCCCTGATCTCCTAATCTCGCAAGTGAGCTGCTTCTGGCGTTGTTCACGCCGACCCTGTTGTCTGAGCTGGGGAAGCAGTCCCTCATTTCAAAGCGTGGCGCGGCCACCCATGGGGACAGACGGACAGGAAGACTCAGGCCTCTCTGCCACTTGGATCCACTTATTTTTAATTAGTTATTTCTGTCTGATATTCAAGCGAGTGTTCCTGACACAAGTGGCTGTCTAGCAGGTGACAATGCCAAGGCTCCTGGGTCTTGAACTCAGGGCCTGGGCGCTGTCCCTGAGCTCTTTCACTCAAGGCTGGTGCTCTACCACCTGAGCCACAGCACCACTTCCAGTTTTCTGGTGGTTCCTTGGAGATCTGAGTCTCACGGACTTTCCTGCTCGGGCTGGCTTTGCACCTCGATCCTCAGATCTCAGCCTCCTGAATAGCTGGGATTATAGGCGTGAGCTACTGGACGCCTAGCTTTCAAGGCTCTTTTTCAACTCTCCTACTTGGTGTTGTCAGGACTGACACAGACGGGAGAATGAAGGGAGGTGATCGGATGGGGTGGCCAGGTCTGGTGTGCTGGGAACTGTGCTCGGAGCGAGTATTTTTGTTCTGGGAATACAAATCTCACCATGTTTAAGGGCGTGAACAGGAAATGGACCAGGTCCGCAGCGCTCGGGTTCTGGATGTGCAATTTCAGCTTGGCCTGGCGTCAGGGAGGAAAAAGAAGACACATGGTTACCAAAGGGCTCTGGAGCCAAAGCCGGCTGGACGCAGCCCCTGGGGCTTGAACTCAGGGCCTGGGCGCTGTCCCTGAGCTCTTCCACTCCAGGCTGGCGCTCTACCACGTGAGCCACGGCGCCTCTTCTGATTTTCTGGTGGTTTACGGGAGATCAGAGTCTCACGGACTTTCCCACCCGGGCTGGCTTTGAACCGCGATCCTCTAGACCCTAGCCTCCTAAGAAGCTGGGATGTCAGGCGGTAGCCACCGTGCTCGGCCTGGGTTATGTTTAGTGTATTCAACAGTGTGGTGGAAACGGGAAGGTGGGAAATTTATGGACAGTGACAGTCAGAAGTCACTGGTTTTCGACAAAGTCTCTTAAATGCACGTTATTTTTGCTTCTTCACTGTTGGTCATCTTAGTGTAACGAAAGCACGCTTACAAATGGACACAGTGCTGGAACAATCATTCTTCATCCTGATTTCATTTCCAGACCCACCCCCGCTGGCCTGTGATCTGAGTCATTGGTCTCTCTGGTCAGTGATGATCAATGCACTTACCAGAAGATTAAAGCCGTGCTTAAACTTCTGGAAACAGTCCACGAACTCATCCGGGGGTGGAGGCTTTGCCCGAAGGGTTAAAACTCCCTCTAGAGAGAGAGAGAAAGAGAGAGAGAGAGAGAAAGCCAAGTTCAAAGGAAATCCATTCAGTGAACACATGTGCACGCACGCGCACACACACAACCTCTTAAGCACGCTGTCCTATTATTACCTAGGTAGGTTGATGAGTCCGTGTGTGTGTGTGTGTGTGTGTGTGTGTGTGCGCGCGCGCCAGTCTAGGATTTGAACTCAGGGCCTGGGTGCTGAGCTTTTGTGCTCAAGGTGGGTGCTCTACCACTTGAACCGCAGCACCATTTCAGTTTTTTGTTTTTGGTAATTCACTGGCAATCTGCTCATGGAAACAGCCATAGAAAGGCGACCGCCCGCGCCTCGGGGCCTTTATCAGGACAGTCTAATTGTCCCGTCCTTGGTACCCCCCCAACCTCCCCCTCCCGACTTCCGGGGCTCCTCAGACCCGCTTGGGTGGATTGTCCTGCGTGGCCTGGCCCTGGCTTCCCGCACACATCTTCACGTCCAGGTGCCTCGACTTACCTCCCGGGCCTTTCCTCTTGCTCTTCTTGCTCTTCTTCCTCTTGGCGAGCTCGGAGAACGCCTCAGCTGCTTTTTGGAGTTTGGTGATAAAAAACTCGATGTCATCCAAGATATGGTTTAGGATTTGCTGGAGGAGACACGGGGTGTGGTGTGGGGGTTAGGGGTTGCTGGAGGAGGGGTGTGGTGTGGGGGTTAGGGGTGGGCTGCGGTGTGGGGGGTTAGGGGTTGCTGGAGGAGGGGTGTGGTGTGGGGGTTAGGGGTTGGTGGAGGAGGGGTGTGGTGTGGGGGTTAGGGGTGTGGTGTGGGGGTTAGGGGTGGGGTGTGGGGGATTAGGGGTGGGCTGCGGTGTGGGGGGTTAGGGGTTGCTGGAGGAGGGGTGGGGTGCGGTGTGGGGGTTAGGGACGGGGTGTGGTGGGGGGGGTTAGGGGTTGGTGGAGGAGGGGTGGGTTGTGGTGTGGGGGTTAGGGGTGGGTTGTGGTGTGGGGGTTAGGGGTTAGGGGTGTGGTGTGGGGGTTAGGGGTGTGGTGTGGGGGGTTAGGGGAGGGGTGGGGGGTTAGGGGTGTGGTGTGGGGGGTTAGGGGTGGGGTGGGGGGGTTAGGGGTGTGGTGGGGGGGTTAGGGGTGGGGTGTGGGGGTTAGGGGTGTGGTGTGGGGGGTTAGGGGTGGGGTGTGGGGGTTAGGGGTGTGGTGTGGGGGTTAGGGGTGTGGTGTGGGGGGTTAGGGGAGGGGTGGGGGGTTAGGGGTGTGGTGTGGGGGGTTAGGGGTGGGGTGGGGGGGTTAGGGGTGTGGTGTGGGGGTTAGGGGTGGGATGTGGTGTGGGGGTTAGGGGTGTGGTGTGGGGGTTAGGGGTGGGATGTGGTGTGGGGGTTAGGGGTTAGGGGTGTGGTGTGGGGGGTTAGGGGAGGGGTGTGGGGGTTAGGGGTTAGGGGTGGGGTGGGGTGTGGGGGTTAGGGGTGTGGTGTGGGGGGTTAGGGGTGTGGTGTGGGGGTGGGGTGTGGTGTGGGGGTTAGGGGTTAGGGGTGTGGTGTGGGGGGTTAGGGGAGGGGTGGGGGGGTTAGGGGTGTGGTGTGGGGGGTTAGGGGTGGGGTGTGGGGGGTTAGGGGAGGGGTGGGGGGGTTAGGGGTGGGGTGTGGTGTGGGGGTTAGGGGTGTGGTGGGGGGGTTAGGGGTGGGGTGTGGGGGGTTAGGGGTGGGGTGTGGGGGGTTAGGGGTGGGGTGTGGTGTGGGGGTTAGGGGTGTGGTGGGGGGGTTAGGGGTGGGGTGTGGTGGGGGGTTAGGGGTGTGGTGTGGGGGTTAGGGGTGGGGTGTGGTGTGGGGGTTAGGGGTGGGGTGTGGGGGTTAGGGGTGGGGTGTGGTGGGGGGGTTAGGGGTGTGGTGTGGGGGGTTAGGGGTGTGGTGTGGGGGTGGGGTGTGGTGTGGGGGTTAGGGGTGGGGTGTGGGGGGTTAGGGGTGGGGTGTGGGGGGTTAGGGGTGGGGTGTGGTGTGGGGGTTAGGGGTGTGGTGGGGGGGTTAGGGGTGGGGTGTGGTGGGGGGTTAGGGGTGGGGTGTGGGGGTTAGGGGTGGGTTGTGGTGTGGGGGTTAGGGGTGGGGTGTGGTGTGGGGGTTAGGGGTGGGTTGTGGTGTGGGGGTTAGGGGTTAGGGGTGTGGTGTGGGGGTTAGGGGTGTGGTGTGGGGGGTTAGGGGAGGGGTGGGGGGTTAGGGGTGGGGTGTGGGGGTTAGGGGTGGGGTGTGGGGGTTAGGGGTGTGGTGTGGGGGTTAGGGGTGTGGTGGGGGGTTAGGGGTGTGGTGTGGGGGTTAGGGGTGGGGTGGGGTGTGGGGGTTAGGGGTGGGGTGTGGGGGGTTAGGGGTGGGGTGTGGGGGTTAGGGGTGTGGTGTGGGGGGTTAGGGGTGGGGGTGTGGGGGGTTAGGGGTGGGGTGTGGGGGTTAGGGGTGGGGTGTGGGGGTTAGGGGTGGGGTGTGGGGGTTAGGGGTGGGGTGGGGGGTTAGGGGAGGGGTGGGGGGTTAGGGGTGTGGTGTGGGGGTTAGGGGTGTGGTGGGGGGGTTAGGGGTGTGGTGTGGGGGTTAGGGGTGGGGTGTGGGGGGTTAGGGGTGGGGTGTGGGGGTTAGGGGTGGGGTGGGGTGTGGGGGGTTAGGGGTGGGGTGTGGGGGGTTAGGGGTGGGGTGTGGGGGTTAGGGGTGTGGTGTGGGGGGTTAGGGGTGGGGTGTGTGGGGGTTAGGGGTGGGGTGTGGGGGTTAGGGGTGGGGTGTGGGGGGGTTAGGGGTGGGGTGTGGGGGGTTAGGGGTGGGGTGTGGGGGGTTAGGGGTGGGGTGTGGGGGGTTAGGGGTGGGGGTGTGGGGGTTAGGGGTGGGGTGGGGTGTGGGGGGTTAGGGGTGGGGTGTGGGGGGTTAGGGGTGTGGTGTGGGGGTTAGGGGTGTGGTGTGGGGGTTAGGGGTGGGGTGTGGGGGTTAGGGGGTGTGGTGTGGGGGGTTAGGGGTGGGGTGTGTGGGGGTTAGGGGTGGGGTGTGGGGGTTAGGGGTGGGGTGTGGGGGTTAGGGGTGGGGTGTGGTGTGGGGGGTTAGGGGTGGGGTGTGTGGGGGGTTAGGGGTGGGGTGTGGGGGTTAGGGGTGGGGTGTGGGGGTTAGGGGTGGGGTGTGGTGTGGGGGGTTAGGGGTGGGGTGTGTGGGGGTTAGGGGTGGTGTGTGGGGGTTAGGGGTGTGGTGTGGGGGGTTAGGGGTGTGGTGTGGGGGGTTAGGGGTGGGGTGTGTTGGGGGCTTAGGGGTGGGGTGTGGGGGGTTAGGGGTGGGGTGTGGGGGTTAGGGGTTAGGGGTGGGGTGTGGGGGGTTAGGGGTGGTGTGTGGGGGTTAGGGGTGGGGTGTGGTGTGGGTTAGGGTTAGGGTTAGGGGTTAGGGGTGGGGTGTGGGGGGTTAGGGGTGGGGTGTGGGGGTTAGGGGTTAGGGGTGGGGTGTGGGGGGGTTAGGGGTGGGGTGTGGGGGTTAGGGGTTAGGGGTGGGGTGTGGGGGGGTTAGGGGTGGGGTGTGGGGGGTTAGGGGTGGGGTGTGGGGGTTAGGGGTGGGGTGTGGGGGGGTTAGGGGTGGGGTGTGGGGGTTAGGGGTGGTGTGTGGGGGTTAGGGGTGGGGTGTGGGGGGGGGTTAGGGGTTGGTGGAGGAGGGGCGGGAGCGGTGCACACTGGATGATGCGTGGGGTGCGTGGCGTACGCTACGTGATAGGAGACGTGAACGGCGTCAAGGACGCGTGAGTGACGGGACGTGGGGCAGAGCCGCGGGTGGGGCACTGGCGCAGCGCGCGCATGCGCAGAGGCAGAGCGGCGGGCGGCCATGGCGCAGCGCGCGCATGCGCAGAGTGGCGGGCGGCAATGGCGCAGCGCGCGCGTGCGCAGAGCCGCGGGTGGGGCACTGGCGCAGCGCGCGTGCGCAGAGGCAGAGCGGCGGGCGGCCATGGCGGGCGGCACTCACCACGTCCCGGTCGATGCGCGCGGCCGTTGTCTCCGGCGGCTCCGGCGGCTCGGGCGGCAGCGGCTGCGGCCTCCGCTCGGCTGCGGAGAGCAGAGCCGCGTCAGCCTGCGCGAGCGGGGGTCGGGCCGGGGCGGGGTCAGGGAGGGAGGGGTCAGAGGTCAGGGTACAGGGGGATGACTCAGGATGGGGTGAGGGGTCAAAGGTCGGGGTCAGGGTACAGGGTGACTCGGAGATGGGGTGGGGTCAGAGGTCAGGTTAGGGTCAGAGGTCAAGGTACAGGGTGATGGATTCGGGATCCGTGAGGGGTCAGGATACAGGGCGCTGACTTGGGGATGGGGTGAGGGGTCAGGAATGGAGGGGTCAGAGGTCAAGGTATGGGGTGATGCTTCAGGATGGGGTGAGGAGTCAGATGTCGGGGTCAGGGTACAGGGTGTTGACTCGGAGATGGGGTGAGGAGGTCAGAGGTCGGGGTAGGAGTCAGAGGTCAAAGCACAGGGTGATGGATTCAAGGATAGGGTGAGAGGTCAGAGGTCGGGGTGAGGGGTCAGGATACAAGATGCTGACTGGGAGATGGGGTGAGGGGTCAGGAATGGAGGGGTCAGAGGTCAGGGTATGGGGTGATGATTCAGGGATGGGGTGAGTCAGAGGTCAGGGTCAGGGTTAGGAGTCAGGGATAGGGTGAGGGGTCAGAGGTTGGGTGAGGAGTCAGAGGTCAAGGTATGGAGATCATGATTCAGGGATGGAGGGAGGGGTCAGAGGTTGGGGTCAGGGGTCAGGGGACAAGAGCCCAGGCCCCTCTGCCCAGCCCGGCAGACCCTCCTGCCCACGGAGGACGTGGAGTGGGAGCTCAGGAGGAAAGAGGCCGCGAGAGCCTCCTCACAGCAGTCCCATCGGCGGCGGGAGGCTGAGAGCTGAGGATTGTGGTTCAAGGCCAGCCCGGGCGGGAAAGCCCGAGAGACGCTCATCTCCAGTCAATCAGCAGAAAACGAAGTGGCGCCGTGGCTCAAGTGGTAGAGCGCCCGCCTTGAGCTGAAGAGCTGAGGGACAGCGCCCAGGCCCTGAGTTCAAGCCCCACGACCAGCACACAGAGACTCTAACGCCGAATTTACTGACTGAGGGCCGTGAACACCCCGACACCCCATATCAATTGTTAGGCTGGGTTCACCTCCTCCTGTCCTCCGTTTGATGCTTCCTAAAAAAGTTGGCTGGGACTAACGATCAGAAATGAGCAACAGAGTGAGCAAGCCAGCGTGGACGGCCGGCCGGAGATACTCACCGTCGCCCTGGTCCGCGGCCCACACCGACCACGCCGCCACCCGGCTCCTCACGTCCACCTGGGTGACGGTGCCCGGGGGCGCAGGGGCCGGTGCCCGGGGAGGCGGGGGGATGCCGGGCTCCGCCTTGGCGATCATCCTGAAACACAGGAACACCACTAGGCCACTCTCAGTCATGGCTTGAGTGCTTCACCCTCAAAAAGAGCTACGCCTGTCATCCCAGCGACTCAGGAGGCTGAGATCTGAGGATCGAGGTTGGAGGCCAGCCTGGGCAGGAAAGGCCGTGAGACCAAAAAGCCAAGAAGCAGAGCTGAGTCCAAGCCCTGGGACACACACACACACACACACACACACGCACACACAGAGGAGGGAAAGAATGAAAAAAAGGACAAAGTTCAGAGAGAAGAAGGAGGAGGCCGGGGAGAGCAAATACGCAGCGGCCACAGCTTCCGAGCCGCAGGGTGCACACCTGCGCTGAGAGTCCTTTTTCTAACCCTTTAGGGAAAAGGATCCACCATGTTTGAGAGGTCGCGTTCCGCCCGGCTGGTCCCGCACTCACCTCAGAGCCTCCGGCCTCCGTTTCTGCTTCCCGCCTCGGCTGTCGCTCACGGCACTCTCGATATCCTCGCTGATCAGGTTGGCCTGCAACAAGACACCTGTTACCAGAAGGTTCTACCCGGAGCAACGTGTGGTGGGCGTGAGATTAAGCTAGAGAAAGCCCAGCGCTGGCGGCTCCCGCTTGTCCACCCGGGAGGCTGAGGACTGAGGATCACAGTTGGAGGCCAGCCCCAGCAGGAAAAGTCCGTGAGACTCTGATCTCCAGTGAGCCACCAAAAACTGGAAGGGGCGCTGTGGCTGAAGTGGTAGAGTGCCAGCCTGGAGTGAAAGAGCTCAGGGACAGCGCCCAGGCCCTGAGTTCGAGCCCCAGGACTGACCACCACAACGAGGAAGGCAGGGAATGGTCCCGCGCGCGTACCTTCACCTCGTCGCACTGGAAGAGGTGGAGGTCGGGCTTGTTCTGCGTGGATTCTTTGCACACCAGGGCCAGGATGGAGTCGTAGCTGCAGGCCTTCTGCACGGCCTGGCAGTGCTGGATGGTGCTGAGAGGGAAATTCTCCAGTTCATTCTACACACAGAGGAGACTCGGTCAGGTCCTGGCTGTGCCCGCAGGGGTGGGGCGTGGCGGGGAACTCAAAGGCCTCCGCGGTGCCTCGACTTACCTGGGACTCCAGGTCGATGAGGCTCACGGCTCGGTCATCCACCTGCAGAATCATGTCCTGCGTCCACACTTTGCCCTTGGCATCCAGCAGCTTCAGCTTCCGGATCCCGTCCTCCACGTTGAGCATGGCATCCTTCCGGTCCAGGATGAAGGTGGTCAGGTGCTGCGCACGGGCCAAGGACAAGCCACGCGTTAAAAGAGAAACGAGCTAAGACTAATTACAATCACATGTTCGTTATAACCGACGCCACCAGAATCCAGCCACGATCGCGTCGTCATTGTCTTAATTATCATTCATAATGACGTTGGAAACTGACAAGTATGTATCGCTGACACGGGGCATATGGCTTCCGTATACCATCGAAGTCAGGGATGGGAGAAATGTAGACTAAACACAAAGCACCCTGCAGCCCCCCACCCCACCCCCTTGTCTTCCTAGGAAGAGGAGATCGCAGAAGGACTTTTCAGAATACGGAAAAAGGATAACTTGGTTCCTAAGACAGATCAAAATCTGTCTCAGAGCCGGGTGCCGTGGCTCCCGCCTGTCATCCCAGCCACTCAGGAGGCTGAGATGGGAGGATCACGGTTCAAAGCCAGCCTGGGCAGGAGAGTTCATGAGACTCTGATCTCCAATGAATCACCAGAAAACGGGAAGTGGCGCTGTGGCTCAAGTGGTAGAGCACCAGCCTTGAGCGAAAGCAGCTCAGGGCTCTGAGTTCGAGTCCCAGTGCACACACACAGACACACAAAGACTCCTCGTGAACACACAGGCGTGTTACCTCCACTCGGTACTGAGAGATGTCGGGCACGCTGCTCACGCTGTCCCGCGCGTAATTCTTCCTTTGTTCTGGGAGAGAGATGATCACTGAGCCACGCCTCGCGTCACGGGGCCGGGTGGAAATCCAGCCTGTCTCTGTCATACCAATACAGTAGTGGACGCCACCACAGCCCGGCTTTTCGGAAAACCTTCACCCAGAAATCGAGAAGCACGAAGAAGCCATAACGTTATGCGTGCAGGAAGCCTTTGGGCTAAATATGAATGATCAGCGCTCCACGTGAACACCATCTATGTTCAGTTGGGCACCAGTGGCTCCCGCCTGTCATCCCGGCTACTCGAGGAGGCTGAGACCTGAGGATCGTGGTTCGAAGCCAGCCCAGGCAGGAAAGCCTGTGAGACTCTTCTCTCCAATGAACCAGCAAAAAGCTGGAAGCGGAGGTGTGGCTCAAGTGGTAGAGCGCCAGAGCACAAAGAGACTCAGAGACGGCGCCCAGGCCCAGACTGGCACGTGTATAAAAAATACATTATTTTTCTCTTGGAAAGATTATAAATGTTGTAAGAAAAATAAATAAACAATCAGGCCTCTGGCTCTGGGTGAAGATTAAAGCCAGCTTTGTACACGTGGGGTGAAAATGCAGTTGTAAATATGGCGGCCAGTACTGTATTCTATGAGGCACACACAAACACACACGCACACACACACACCAGGTCACGGGAGGCCCGGGGGTGGAGTGACTGTGGGCTGGGGTCGTGTGATCGGGACACACGCAGGGCACACACAAGTTGTGTTAGGGGAAAAGGAAGAAGAGAAGAAGAAAGTGAAGCCCGACCACAAAGCCCACCTGAGATGCTGCAGGCCAAATACACAGGTGTGTCACAGCACACACGCGCACACTCACGCTGCACACGGGCGTGTCGCTGGCTTCCCCAGGGGGACCTGCCTCCTGACTCACTCCCGCACGGAAGGCCGTGATGGAAAGGAATTTAATTTTGGGGTGGGGGGTGGTGTTGGGGGGACGGGTGGGAATCAGCCTTCCAAACTCCGCTTCTCGCGGGGACTCAGTGTGGACAGGGCGCGGGCAGAGGCCGGGCGCAGGGGCTCACGCCTGTCATCCCAGCTCCTCAGGAGGCTGAGATCTAGAGGATCGAGGTTCAAGGCCAGCCCAGGGCAGGAAAGCCCGTGAGACTCTGATCTCTAATGAATCACCAGAAAAATGGAAGTGGCGCTGTGGCTCAAGTGGTAGAGCGCCAGCCTTGAGCTGAAGAGCTGAGGGGCAGCGCCCAGGCCCTGAGTTCAAGCCCCAGGACTGACAAAAGCCAACTTGGACGTGGAGTTCTTTTCCACTGCGGCCTTCCGGGCCGCTCGCAGCCCGGGGAGGAAGCCCCGTGCTCTTTATTCTGATTTTGGCTCTGCAGGGCTGGAGGAAGGAAGGGAAGGCAGGCGCACAGGACGCTCACTACCTTTCTTCTTTTGTTTGGATGACGACCTGAAGAAATAAGATCCGTCGGGTCCTAGCAAAATAACGTGGTCAGAAAAGAAAGATCTGAGCCGGGCTCTGTGGCTCCCGCCTGTCACCCCAGCCACTTGGGAGGCCGAGAGCTGAGGATCGTGGTTCGAGGCCAGCCCGGGCAGGAAAGTCCCTGAGACTCTGATCTCCAAGGAACCAGCAAAAGGCTGGGCTGGAGCTGTGGTTCAGGTGGCAGAGCGCCAGCCTTGAGAGAAAGAGCTCAAAGGGCAGCGCCCAGGCCCCGAGTTCAAATCCCAGGATGGACGAAAAAGAAAAACAAAGATCTAGTTTCGCCTCAGATTTGGACTCCAGCATCACATATTCGGGGAGGTGGAGTCCACTCTGGAAGGCCAGCGCCTTTCCCTCCGTGCCAGTCCCTGCAATTCACGTGCGCTGCCATCACTACCAGAGCGAGCTGCTGCCCACCAATCACCACCAGAGCTGCTGCTGCCCACCAATCACCACCAGAGCTGCTGCTGCCCACCAATCACCACCAGAGCTGCTGCTGCCCACCAATCACCACCAGAGCTGCTGCTGCCCACCAATCACCACCAGAGCTGCTGCTGCCCACCAATCACCACCAGAGCTGCTGCTGCCCACCAAGCACCACCAGAGCAGCTGCCCACCAATCACCACCAGAGCAGCTGCTGCCCACCAAGCACCACCAGAGCAGCTGCCCACCAATCACCACCAGAGCTGCTGCCCACCAATCACCACCAGAGCTGCTGCCCACCAATCACCACCAGAGCCGCTGCTGCCCACCAATCACCACCAAAGCAGCTGCCCACCAATCACCACCAGAGCAGCTGCCCACCAATCACCACCAGAGCTGCTGCTGCCCACCAATCACCACCAGAGCTGCTGCCCACCAATCACCACCAGAGCTGCTGCCCACCAATCACCACCAGAGCTGCTGCCCACCAATCACCACCAGAGCCGCTGCTGCCCACCAATCACCACCAGAGCCGCTGCTGCCCACCAATCACCACCAGAGCCGCTGCTGCCCACCAATCACCACCAGAGCAGCTGCCCACCAATCACCACCAGAGCCGCTGCTGCCCACCAATCACCACCAGAGCAGCTGCCCACCAATCACCACCAGAGCAGCTGCCCACCAATCACCACCAGAGCAGCTGCTGCCCACCAATCACCACCAGAGCTGCTGCCCACCAATCACACTGCGCCCTCGAGCGTGCATGGGAGGCTTGGCCGCCTGAGCCACGCTCCCGGCCCAGCTTCTTTGTTTTTGCTGGTTCTTTGGGAGATGGGGGAGACGCGTGGCTCTTTTCTGCCTGAGTTGGCTCATGAACCGCGATCCTCCGGATCTCAGCGTTCTGGGGAGCGGGGACTACAGGCGGGAGCTACCACTGCCTTGGCCTGTAACCCGCGTGAAGAGCTGTAAGGAAAGGTCAGTGGTTTGTGCAAAGCCGGCGGGGCCAGGGCGGGGCGCGTACCGTACAGGGTCTTTGCGCTGGACTTGGAGCTGGGATCTCTGTCCACGGGAGACAAGCCGGGGGGCGGGGCGTAGCCACTGTAAGGAAAACAAGACAGGAAGGAGGCGTGAAGCAATGGCAGGCGCGGGCTGGGTTTGCAGGCCCTGTGGGGGGGTGCGGAGCGGACCTATGCACAGATGCCCACTGCACAATGTCAGTGAGATCCGGGGTCCCTCCCAAATGCAGCCTGCCCCCCAACACCAGGCTACAGACCACCTGAGCTTTTCCTGCTGGTTCAGTGGAGATCAGAGTCTCACGGGCTTTCCTGCCCGGGCTGGCCTCGAACCACGATCCTCAAGATCTCAGCCTCCTGCAGAGCTGGGATTGCAGGCGTGAGCCACCCTGCCCAGCCTTGTTTATTTACTTTTCTCTCTCCCTTCCCGTTAGTAATGCCATTAGGTGAAACAAACAGGAGTCTGTTTCGGTTGTGCTGAGTTGTTCAGTAAATATTTATTGACCTCCTTCCCCTCTCAAGCCAGAAAGAAATATGGAATACAGGAAGAGAGACCAGCCCCACCCTGGCAGCTCACGCCCGTCAGCCCAGGACTCAGGAGGCTGAGATCGGAGGATCGTGGTTCGAAGCCAGCCTGGACAGGAAAGTCCATGAGACTCGTATGTCTAGTGAACCACGGAAAAGCCAGAGGTGGAGCTGTGGTCCAAGTGGTAGAGCGCCAGCCTGGAGCACGAAAATCTCAGAGACAGCTCGCAGGCCCTGAGTTCAAGCCTCAGACACACACACACACACACACACACACACACACACACACACACACACACACACACGCATGGCTGGGCGTAGCAGCAGATACGTACAAACCCAACCACTCCAGCAGCAGAGGCCAGAGAGTTAGAAGTTCAATGCCAGCCTGGGCCGCACAGTGAGACGCTTGGTCTCCAAAATAAACACGTTCATTCATTCCTTCCTTCCTTCATTCATTCCCTCAGCCCAGCCAATCCAGCGCCCGCAGCACCAACCAGTGACTCACTTGGGCTGGGAAGAGTACAGGCCAAAGCCGCCGGGCAGGTGTGCGTTCATGCCGACTTCAGCTCCGGGCCTGCAGGGAGAACACACACAAGATGAAGTCAGGCCAGCACCTCACTGCGACCCGGGTTCGAAGCCAGCCCGGGCAGGAAAGTCCACGGCCCGCACATCTCCCAGAAACGACTCAGAAGACACCAGAGGTGGCGCTGTGGCTCAAGTGGTAGAGCGCCAGCGCTGCGCAAAAGAGGCTCAGGGACAGCGCCCAGGCCCTGAGTTCAAGACCCACAGCCGGCGCTTGCGCACACACATGCACACACACACACACACACGCACACACACACACGGGAAGTCAGCCTTCGTCCTGATTTGTTTCTCCTGTGTTTTCTTGAGATGACGGAAAGGGTAAACCAGGGCTCAGGTCACGGGTGGGAACGCGGTGTCTGCCCCTGAGCAGGGACGGCAGGAGTACTCGCGCTGCCCTTCCCTTCCCTGAGCGACGGGACGCGGCTCTGAGGGGCAGAGCTTGCTCTGCCAGGTTCCGCCTCCCAGGACGGAGGGCTGCGGCACGGGCGCTCAGGACGGGGGTGAGATCCCACCCAGCAAGCGCGGGGCTGCTGTGATGTCTTGCGGATCAGCTCTGAGGCCTGGTCCACACTGACGCCTTCGAGAATGTACTAGAAAAGCCCCCGGGGCAAACACCACCACGGGAGGGAGGAGGACGGACAGGCACCCCTGGACCAACCAGAGTCACATAAAACGGATTTTCTGCTTTGCCCGTGGTGGGACTTGAACTCGGGGCCTGGGCGCTGTCCCTGAGCTCTTTCGCTCAAGGCTGGTGCTCTACCATTTGAGCCACAGTGCCATTTCCGGTTTTCTGGTGGTTGGTTGGAGAGCAGAGTCTCACGGACTTTCCTGCCTGGGCTGGCCTCCAACCACGATCCTCCGTTTCAGCCTCCTGAGTCGCTGGGATGCCCGGCGGGAGCCCCAGCGACCGGCTTACAAGACATCTTCCCATTCCTATGCACAAGTCTTTAGCTAACAGAGGCGCGCGTGCACACAGACCGGCCCAACCCAGCCCAGAAACACGGGCTTCCAGAACCATCTTTTACGAGATGGAAACTCCCAACGGCTTCAGTGGTGTCTAAAAATAGCAAACCATAAAAACTCGGCGGGTCAGACGTGCAGATCCCAGCACGGGCGCGGGGTCATATTTAATATTTAACCCGCGCCACCCCAGGGCTTCTCAGGCCTGGGAGCAAAGGACGCTGGTCCTGAACCCGCCCCGGGCCGCGGCCCCGGAGTCTCTGCCCCGGCTCGCCCAGCCTCAGGGTGCATGAAACCAAGCTAGCATGGGAAAGCCTCTCCCGTGTCTCCAAAGCACACACGCCTCCTCCCAAGATGATTTCACCTGGAAACCCGGGTCTCGCAGGGCACTGTGGCTCACGCCTGTCATCCCAGCAACTCAGGAGGCTGAGATCTAGAGGATCGCGGTTCGAGGCCAAGCCCAAGCAGGAAAGGCCGTGAGACTCTGATCTCCAATGAACCAGGCCCCATGTACAAAGAGGAAAATGTATTCTTTCCTAAATACTCTGTGTGTGTGTGTGTGTGTGTGTGTGTGTATGTGTGTGTGTGTGTGTGTGTGTCCTGGGGTTTGAACTCAGGGCCTGGGCACTGTCCCTGAGCTCTTTCACTGAAGGCTGGTGCTCTACCACTTGACCCACAGTTCCACTTCTGGTTTTCTGGTGGTTCCGTGGAGATCAGAGTCTCACGGACTTTCCTGCCTAGGCTTGGCCTTGAACCGCGATCCTCAGATCTCAGCCTCCAGAGCGGCTGGGATGACAGGCGGGAGCCACTGGTGTCCGGCTTCCACAGATTGTTGATAAAAGGAAAAGAAAATCCCAGAAGAACCATTGAAGTCACCTCGAAGCTGAACTTGAGAGGCTGGGCTGCAGAATCTAAGCCCTGTTTACACCAAACATGGAGCCAGCAGCACAGGTCAGTGGCCTGATCGGACAGGAAAGAGGGCCAGCTGTGTGTGGAGGGATCGGATCACCCCCCCCCCACCCCCTAACCCTCCCAACCCCCCCCACCCCCGGTTATGATTCTAACAACAAGACTCTTCAAACCCCAGGAACCAGCAAACCCAGGCGCCCAGGGCGCCCGGCTAGAAACGTGTTTTCCCATCTCCAAATCCACCAGCCCAGGCTCCCGCTGACATCAGATCAGGATCACCCGCTCCGCTCAGGCAAACGGATGAATCCGGGAACTCCACAAAGCCTACTATGGCAAACAGGCCTTGGTGCTCACGCCTGCAGTCCCACCTGCTCAGGAGGCTGAGATAGGAGGATCGCGGTTCAAAGCCAGGCCAGGCAGGAAAGTCTGTGAGACTCTGATCTCCAAGAAAGTCAGAAGTGGCGCTGTGGCTTAAGTGGTAGAGCGCCAGCCTTGAGCAAAAGCAGCTCAGGGACAGTGCCCAGGCCCTGAGTTCAAGCCCCAGGACTGGCACCCCCCCCAAAAAAAAGGAGCAGGCAAGCAATGCCAAAGGATCCCCCTGCCCGGTGGGCATTCGATTGCTTTTCCTTGCAGCCAAGTGTGTTTTCCCACATGGAGTTCCTTTTTCTTCTTTTCTTGTGCCAGTCCTGGGGCTTGAACTCAGGGCCTGGGCGCTGACCCTGAGCTCTTTCACTCCAGGCTGGTGCTCTACCACTTGAGCCATAGCACCTCTTCCAGCTTTTTGGTGGCTCATGGGAGATCAGTCTCACGAACTTTCCCACCGGGCTGGCCTCGAACCTCGATCCTCGGATCTCAGCCTCCCGAGTCGCTGGGATGACAGGCGGGCGTGACCGGCCTGTGGGTTTTTTTTTTAAACCACATTCAATCCGGAAACATCTCCCCGCTCGTGTTGGAGCTGAGAGGCTCCAATTTTCTAGCAAACAAGTGTTGGATTTTATTATTATTATTATCTTTTAGGAGATAGGAGATCCAGTGTTTACAGGAACAGAGTTTAATCTCAATACCACGGATGTTTCTGGAAAGGCCAGGGCTTGGCCAAGAGCTCCAGGGCTGCGGGAAGCAGATGGGAGCAGGTGCCAAGTTCTTTAAAGACACAGAAATCACGGCATCCAGCTTCAGAGCGCAGGGCATGATGGTCAACGGTCACCGGGCAGAAACGCCTCGCAGCGCCCGCCCTGCCCAGACCCGCTATCCCCGGCCAAAACTCAACGGGCACGCTGCCAAAACCCAATCGTCACGGTGCCAGAACGCTGCTCAATATTCATCATGCCAAAATACTCTCCAATATCCACTGTGCCAAAATCCAGCATCCACTGTCAAAATGCAACATGCCTTGGGCCAAAATTCAACAGTCACCGTGCCAAAATCTAACATGCCCTGTGCCAAAATTCAAGTCACTGTGTAAGAATGCTATGCAATAGTCAGTGTATCAGAAACGCCAACATTCACTGTATCAGGAATGCTATTCAACATTCACTGTATCGGGGACGGGAGGGGAAACTGAGGGAAGGAGGGACTTTGTCCAAAAGAAGCCCCCACACTCCCTGGCTGCCTGGCGAGGCATTCATCCTGCTGAGCCACACCTGTGTAATGGCAATAAAATTCTATTTTTGTAAAGGTGAGTCACACGGCCGGGCGCCGGTGCTCACACCTGTCATCCCAGTGACTCGGGAGGCTGAGATTGGAGGATCGCGGTTCGAGGCCGGCCCGGGCAGGTGAGTCCCTGAGACTCATCTCCCATGAACCGTGGAAAAAGCTGGGAGTGGCGCTGTGGCTGGAGTGGTAGAGCACCGCCAGCCTTGAGCAGAGCAAAGCTCAGGGACGGCGCCCGGGCCCTAAGTTCAAGTTCCCAGACTATCTATAAAAGTTACACCTCACACCGCGTGTGGGCCTGAAGAGAAAGCGTGCAAGGCCCCCCCCACACACACACACACTCGCAAGGGGCGGGCCGGGCTCCGAGGGCCTGCGCTTAGTCCCGGCCCGGCCTGGGTGGGCTGCGGTTTTCACCATCTGGTCTAGAAAGCAGAACTAGGGGTGAAAGTGCACCCCATTTCCACGGAGGATTCCAGAAGTGACTCAGAGGAAAAGAAAGCAGTTGTCCTGTGAGTCACGAAGTCTCCTTTCCAGAACCACCCAGAACCTTCTTAGAAGGAAGCAGTGGCACCAGCCATGTCGGTTTCCCCGTTCGGGACACACCCTTCCCCAGCCGGCCAAGAACACCGTCATCTGATCAAGACCAGGACGGCCGAGCCACGGCTCCCCACCGGTAATCCCTCCCCCTTCACACCCCAAACCTCTCACGAGACACTGACACATCTTTACCAGCACGTCCGCCTCTCAGGGTGAGGCAGGACTGTTCTGGAGGCGTGGTTCATGTGGTAGAGCACCAGCCTGGAGCAAAAGGACTCAGGGCCTGCGCCCGGGCCTGAGTTCAATATCCATCCATCCATCCACCCACCCATCCATCCATCCATCCATCCATCCATCCATCCATCCTCCATCCATCCATCCATCCATCCATCATCCATCCATCCACCCACCCACCCACCCACCCATCAATCCATCCATCCATCCATCCATCAATCCATCCATCCACCCACCCACCCATCCATCCATCCATCTACCCACCCACCCACCCATCAATCCATCCATCCATCCATCCATCAATCCATCCATCCATCCACCCACCCACCCATCCATCCATCCATCCATCCATCAATCCATCCATCCATCCATCCACCCACCCATCCACCCATCCATCCATCCATCCATCCATCCATCCTCCATCCATCCATCCATCCATCATCCATCCATCCACCCACCCACCCACCCATCAATCCATCCATCCATCCATCCATCAATCCATCCATCCATCCACCCACCCACCCATCCATCCATCCATCAATCTATCCACCTACCCACCCATCCATCCATCCATCCACCCACTCACCCACCCATCCATCCATCATCCATCCATCCATCCATCCACCCACCCACCCACCCATCAATCCATCCATCCATCAATCCATCCATCCATCCATCCACCCATCCATCTACCCA